TTTTTTTTTTTTTTGCATTTGGAATCTTTTATTGCTTAAGGCTATGTGCATTTCTTGCATCCTTGGATTGTAGAAATATTCTTTACAATGTAAATATAAATATGTTTTGTTTTCCAGTACTAATTGATGGTAAAAGTATCACGGTGGAATGCCATCTTCTTGATTCTGTGAGTTTCTATATATTTTTTTGTATTTTAGATTTCCTTCATGAACTGAGTTTATTCACTTTTACATTAGTGTGTTTAAATTATATAACGTCATTATTTTACTTCCTCTGAAATCTATTTGCTATTACACTTCCCATGTTTATATACTTTTAAATGTCATGTGATTTAATAGTAAGCCTTGAAGATTCACTTTCGTCTGTGATTCATGTATCAAATCTGTTATGACAAGTTGATTGACTACTTCAATCTAATATATGGTGTGTAAGAAAAGGCTCCCAGCAGGATCAGACTTTAGAAAATACCTGTTCTGTTCAGAGGTGTGATATAGAGTGTGGTTTGCGAATCTCCTTTAATAGAGTGCTTTAGTCTACTTGTTGCTAATTACCTCTTTTTAAAGTGCTGTATATTTAAAATTATCTCTCTTGCAAAGTAGCATAATCATGTTTTAATGGATCCTTTAACAATTTGTGTTACATTTTATTATTGTATAGAAGAATTTTATTTCTGTTAAGACATGGTGAAACTCTTCTGGTTATTCTAATGATTTCCCTCTTTCTAGCCAGGCTTAAAGGGCAGTAACCCCTTGACTCAGAGGGAGAGGAGACACCGAGAGCCTGCCCGACACATCTCCTTTGGTGGCAACCTGATTGCCTTCTCACCGCTGAGGCCCCTCTGTGGAGAACAGCCAGAGGAATGTTAGGTTTAAAAGTCTATCCAACACTTTTTCTTCATATTGGAAATGGCTGTGATATGGGCTTAAAAATACTGAACTTTTGGAGGATACAGATTTGTAGTCACTTCTATTCATTTATATATTCTCATGTAATGTTTAGGGAATATTCTGTGTGGATTAAATGTGCTAAGTATAATACTGTTTCTTAAGGGAAGCTCTGGGATGTTTTGTACATTATTAACCATGCGGAATGTATATGCTGAAAGTTAAGTGTATTTACTTACAACTAATGGCGTATTCTTCAGTATTAATCAAAATGTAAAATTCAACATTGATAGAAATATGTGAACCTTTTGTACTTTATTCTTAGTTTAAACCCTGACTCGTCTAATGTTGAACAGCTCTGCACCGTGTATTGTCCAGTGTGCATTGAATTTACTTTTGTTGAACTTCCTATATTCTGAAGTAAATTTATTCTATAGTTTCAAAATATTAAATTATTAGAGGTGATCATTAAAATGTGCCTCTTTTCTTTTTTGCTTTTCTTAATAGACTTTTTTTCCAGAGCATTTTTCGATTTATTGGCATATTGGACAGTTTCTCCTTTTATATCTTACACGAGTATGGCACACCTTTTTCATTTCCCTGACACCACTGATAGAATCGCCTTCTTACCTTGAAAAGAATGATATCACCCGATGTTCTCGTGATAGTTTCTCTTTAAGACTCTCAGCTAGAAGGCAGAGGCATCGAAATAGCAGATTGACCAGAACACTGAAGGTCGTATCTAGACTTGGGTCCAGTTATTTCTGTCTGCAAATGAATTGAGGCTGGAGGCATTCACCACATAAGCAGCAACTTTGTGGACAGCCCCATAAGTTTAGGGGCTCTCAAACACAAGAAAACACCTCTGCCTTTCTTGTCAGAGGAAGTCTTATTAACCTTGTGGGAGAGATGGTATTTATCAGCAAGTCCCCAATGGTTATGCAGAAGGTAGGTGACGTGCTTGCTTCAAAAAATGTGCACCTACTCTTACCAAAATGCCTACTCAATACCAAAAGATGAAAGCAACTGTAGCAGCCCATTAGTGAATATGAAATTCAAGCAGGCCATAGTAAACAAGGAAACAGACACAAAAGGTAGGGCTTTTTCTGACTGCCCAGCTGAATTTCCTCTTCCCTGCAAATATTGAAAAGCCTATGTTCATGTGGGCAGGAGCAAGAGAGAAGCACCAGAGAGCCTGTCATGGAGGCTGGTGTGATTTCTCTCTGCTGGGAGAGTCTGAATCAAATTTCTCTAAGTGAACCCCCAAGACCCCTCCCCCTGCCCAAAGAAAGCAGGTTAGGATTTTCTAAGAGTCCAGGGCCCTGGACACCTGAAAAATGTTGGTAGGAAATAACCCAAGACTCACAATCTATGTAGGAGCAATATGCACCCTAATTTGACCTCATAGATAAAGCAGTTGGGAAGAAGTATCAGAAAACATTTATATATATATTAACTTTAGTTGGATGTATTATTGAGTCATTTAGAAAGCCATTAAGGATCTTAATTGTGAAATGGACGCAAATTGGTTTAACCACAAGATAATTGTTTCCCAAGTCCTCAGGGTGATTCCAGGCACTAACATCAGCAGCTAAGTGACAACATCAAGGTTCAACTCCTGCTACAGTTCATCCTCCCAACTTTGTTGTTGCTTTCTCCCATGAGACCAGAGATCGGTAGCTACCAATGGCACTCAGAGCTATAGATAGCCTTCCCTTTGCCCGAGGAAGGCCACCCTATGCCACATCCCCGCTTAAACTAAGCAGGACTCCCTATTGGATCTTTGATCATATTTGAATAAAATTGTGACAGTAAAGATCAAATGGATATTTGGAAGGCAACCATCCCTGTCCCCTACAACTAGGTGTGTGTGTGTGTGTGTGTGTGTGTGTGTGTGTGTGTGTGTGTGTGTGTGTGTGTCTGTGTCTATGTCTGTGTCTGCTTGGTTAATACAGGAGCCTTTCCAAAACAGGATGGAAAGGAATTTCTATTTATTGAAGACTTACTATTTGGTATGGGCCCTTTGTAAACAATATTTCACTTCACAATCCCAGGTTCCCTGTAAGTCACTTACTATGCTACCCATTTGATAGATATGCCAAAGCTCAGGACCAAGCGTGTAGTTTTCTACAAGATGGAATAGAAGACAGGCTGGATATAAACCAGGTTCTCTTTTCCAAGCTTAGGATTTTTTCCTTTGGTCATATGACTAAGACAGCAGGATATTAGGGTAAGAAATCAATTTTTCTTTTTTAAAAATATGTTGTTCCATGCCACCCAGTGCCCTATTTAGGATTTATTCCCTCGACTGCTGTCATACCATATTGAGCACTGCCTCTGCCCAAGAGAGTCATTTTACCGGTTACACCTCGTTCCCCATGCGACCTGTATTCGCTGACTGAAGTGGCGATAGAAGGCCTGACTGCCATACCCCATCTCAGAACAACTCCCTCTGCCCCGTCCCGCACCGTCTTACTGCACAGGTGTGGATCACAAGCATGCTTTGAAACCTCTTACCTATGAAACTCTCTGCTTCCTGAGAAACCTCATCTGCGGCAATCACCAATTCTGAGTACTTACAGTATTATAGAACTAATCGGAAAGAAATGTATGTGTTCGTCTGGCGTGCTTCTGCCTTTGTGAGTGAGTTGTTGAAAGTTTACCCTACCTTCATTGTTCATGTAGTTTCCATTTCATTAAACTTTCACTTCAATCTCTATAAGTAAGCAACATTCATGTATTTTGGTCTGAAATGTTAGTGTTTGCATGTATAATTTCCTTTTCTCAACAGCATTTTAAATTCTACACCATTGATAAATCATTGCTACTATTGGTAATTCATAATGTTCTGTATTATAAAATGACATATCTCTAAAGTGAACCAGAGACACACATTAAACTACAGATAAATGGATGGATTTGGGGCTTACTTATTCGTAGCCCTAATCTAAGAACAATTAGTGCTTATGACATGGCCCTACTCAATTTTGCCCTCATGAAGAGATCACTGAAGATATTGATGCTATAGCAAAATGTGAAGGAAGCGCCCAGTGCCGGGGTATAAGGCAAATGCATTATTTAACGTGGATCTTCAAGCCAAAGTCTCTAACCCCCACCAAATGACCAAAATGTAGATCAATCACAGAGATCAAGTTGAGAAGTACGACAGAATCTTCATTGGGTCATCACCTTGTGATGGCTCCAGACCCAAAGAATGTGGGTTTTTCTAAGAGATAAAACTAAAAAGGTTTGGGAAGAATGTAATTTCTAGAATGGGTCCTATTTAATTCCTATTTTGGGTCCTATTGTAATGGATGTAAGGAATGGTATGCTGCATCAGAGAACACAAGAGCTGCTTCTGGAGTGGCCTGGAGAAAAAGCCTGCCTGGTTAAGATGAGTAGGCAGGGTCTCTTCTAGACCGACTGGAATGATCCTGCCAGATTCTCCATGTCAAGTGGACATCAACGGTTCAAAGGTAGAGAAGGGATTATTGTATCTGAGTGTGAAAAAGGTTAAGGGTTACCTCTGACCGTAGTCCAGTGATGTGAACAGCCTCATCAGATGGAGAGCACTGTAAAGTCGGTTAATGCAGATGGAGTTAGGCTAGAGTGTAACCTGATCATTTTATCCCCCTTTTGAGCTATTTTAAAGTTGTTTCAGTTTTTAATATTTTCTGCTTTAAAATTTTTCTTTTATTATTGTTGAGTTTTTGGGTTAAGTTTTTGGGTTTTTTCTTGGTGGGGTAGAATTATGCTTTCCTGCATATGAAATCCAAGATAGGTAAATCTATAGAGGCACTAACTCATTGAATAATTAGCCAAGGACATAATGGGGGCTTGGGAATTGGGAAGCTAATAATGAGAATGAGAAAGAAGAAACTGTTCTAAAATTGATTACACAATTCTCTTTAATATGATTAACCAATATGAGAAAACATTGTAAGATAATATGAATTATTGGTCAACAGTTTTCTTTAATTATAAAGAATATATATATTCAAATATATAATTTATTTCTAAAAAAAATAGGTGAAACTATCCACAAATATCAAGAATATTCACAACAAGGTAAGAACAGGCAAGTAGGGAGAAGAATGGGGCATATTAAAAAGAGACAAGGTCATTCTATCACAGGGTAAACAATCCATCTCAAAGTTTATCTTATTTGCATCCTGGAAGTAAAGATTAGCATCACATTTAATTTAAAAATTGGGACAAATATAAAA